GGCTGAAATATCTACTAGGGCATAAGAGAGGAATTTATAGGCATATCAAAAGAGGTGAGGGTCATCTTATGAATCAGTATATTGACATTAAGAGGGACATTAAAAAGGGATAAGAAAAGCTAAAGGGACTATGAAATTAAAGTTGCTAGGGATTCGAAAACTAACCCAAAAAGTTTTTTCTAGGTGTATAGAACAAAAGTTAGAGATAAGATAGGTCCCCTTAAAAATAACTATGGGCATCTTACTGACAAAGAGAATGAAATGCGCTCAATTTTAAATAATTATTTCCTCTCGGTTTTTACACAGGAAGACACTAACAATATTCCAGTAATTAATATTTATAGTGGGCCTGAAGAAGATAAATTATGTAACATCACAGTCACTAGTGAAATGGTTATGAAACAAATAGACCAACTGAAGCAAAATAAGTCACCGGGTCCTGATGAGCTTTTTTCAAGGATTCTTAAGGAATGCAAAATGGAACTCTGTGAACCATTAACTAATATTTTTAATTTAACTCTTCAAACAGGTGTAGTGTCTGATATGTGGAAGATGGCTAATGTAATTCCTATTTTTAAAGCAGGGGACAAGTCGTTACCGTCAAATTACCACCCAATAAGCCTGACCTCAATTGTAGGCAAATTACTAGAGTCAATTATAGCTGAGATTATAAGAAGCCATCTCGATAAGCATAGCTTGATTAATGATACTCAGCATGGATTCACAGTGAGGCCGTTCTTGTCTAACTAATTTATTAACTTTCTTCAGCAAAGCTTTTGAGGCTGCTGACTATGATAAAGAATTTGATATTATTTACTTAGATTTTAGTAAGGCTTTTGATAGAGTTCCGCACCAAAGACTGTTAAAGAAAGTGGCAGGTCATGGCATTGGGGTAAAAGTGCTCTCGTGGATCGAGTCATGGCTCACAGACAGGAAGCAGTGTCCATAAATGGGGTTAAATCCGAGTGGGGATCTGTAACAAATGGCGTTCCACAGGGATCAGTCTTGGGCCCGTTGTTGTTCATAATATATATCAATGATTTTGATGAGGGAATTACTAGTGAAATGAGCAAATTCGCCGATGACACAAAGATAGTTAGGATAATTTATTCAAATGTAGATATCAGGGAACTTCAGGAGGATTTAGACAAACTCAATACTTGGTCAGCAAAGTGGCAGATGCAGTTCAATGTAGATAAATTCAAGGTTCTGAAGCTCGGGAGTTTACCTGGAGTTTACCTGGAGAGAGTTCCGGGGGTCAACGCCCCCGCGGCCCGGTCTGTGACCAGGCCTCCTGGTGGATCAGAGCCTGATCAACCAGGCTGTTGCTGCTGGCTGCACGCAAACCAACGTACGAGCCACAGCCCGGCTGATCCGGAACTGACTTTAGGTGCTTGTCCAGTGCCAGCTTGAAGACTGCCAGGGGTCTGTTGGTAATCCCCCTTATGTGTGCTGGGAGGCAGTTGAAACAGTCTCGGGCCCTGACACTTATTGTATGGTCTCTTAACGTGCTAGTGACACCCCTGCTTTTCATTGGGGGGATGGTGCATCGTCTGCCAAGTCTTTTGCTTTCGTACGTGAGTGATTTTCGTGTGCTGCAAGTTCGGTACTAGTCCCTCTAGGATTTTCCAGGTGTATATAATCATGTATCTCTCCCTCCTGCGTTCCAGGGAATACAGGTTTAGGAAACCTCAAGCGCTCCCAATAATTGAGGTGTTTTATCTCCGTCATGCGCGCCGTGAAAGTTCTCTGTACATTTTCTAGGTCGGCAATTTCACCTGCCTTGAAAGGTGCTGTTAGTGTGCAGCAATATTCCAGCCTAGATAGAACAAGTGACCTGAAGAGTGTCATCATGGGCTTGGCCTCCCTAGTTTTGAAGGTTCTCATTATCCATCCTGTCATAACTCTAGCACTTATAAGTTAAATAATGTAGAACTTAGCCATACATATTGTGAAAAGGACTTGGGGGTTATGGTAAGCAGTAACCTTAAACCAAGAGAGCAATGCTTAAGCGTACATAATAAGGCAAACAGATTACTAGGATTTATATCAAGAAGTGTAAGCAACAGAAAGGCCTCACCTAGATTATGCAGCCCAGTTCTGGTCTCCATATTACAGAATAGACATAAATTCGTTAGAAAACGTTCAGCGTAGAATGACTAAATTAATACGTAGCATTAGAAATCTTCCTTATGAAGAAAGACTGAAGACCCTTAAATTACATTCACTTGTTAGATGAAGAATGAGGGGAGACATGATCGAAGTGTATAAGTGGAAGATGGGTATTAATAAAGGTGTATAGATAAGGTCTTGAGATATCTCTCCAAGAGAGAACCTGCAGTAATGGATTCAAATTAGAAAAGTTTAGATTTAGAAAGGATATAGGAAAGTATTGGTTTGGAAATAGGGTAGTTGATGAGTGGAACAGTCTTCCTAGTTGGGTTATTGAGACTAAAACCTTGGGTAGCTTCAAATTTAGGTTGGATAAACGCATGAGTGAGAGGTGTTGGATTTGAGTGGGACTTGCATATGATTGGATAGGGTTAACAGAGCTTGTTTCTTGGGTGGCATTGAAAATTGGTTGGGCAAATATTTTGTTAGTGGGATGGATTGTAAAGGACCTGCCTAGTATGGGCAACGGGCCTGCTGCAGTGTTCCTCCTTTCTTATGTTCTTATGTTCTTAACTGATTGCGAATTTGTGATGGCGGACTTGTACTAGGTCTGATTCCATGCTTCTTCCTTAAGTGGAAAGTGACCTGACTAGGTGGGTCATTGGATTAAGCCTGAAGGTAACATGGGACCTGCTTCACATTGGTCAGTAGGCCTGCTGCAGTGTTTCTTCTTTCTTATGTTCTTATAAAGCCCCGAATACAACTGTAAAAAACATACACACACAAAAAAAACACTGCAAAGTCGCTGTTTTAATCCAACAATAGTCTCAGTTTTTTTCTCATTATGCACTGCATGCTGCAGGATTTGTTTTATGTGGTGCACACTTACAACATAGATGTATTCTCTCATAGCTAGGCCAAAATTTACCACTCACAGCTTATTTGAGCAAGCCAAGCTCATGGTGTAGCACTACGGCTTGCACCTTGGCTTCAAAATACATAAAACTACGGGATGAACCTTCAAAGTTTAAAATATATTTGGCCTTAACATAGGGTGAGAGGGGAGTAGTATTTACTGTTGGAAGTCAGGAGATGAACCCAGCCTCTGCTAGCTTTGAATTTATCTTTAGTAACTTGCTCACCTCTCTCAGCCTTCATAGAAATGAAGATCTCAGGCCTTGGACTGGTAATGGCTCAGCTTAAAGGCATGCTGCAACTAGTCTGATCTTTAATCCATACCAATAAAAGTTTTCCCACATCAGCAATAAAGTTATCACATTTTCTTATAACATTAGTATTTACTGGAGTAGTCCTTTTAATTTCCTGCAACAATTTCTCTTCAGAGTTCATTTAAAGTAAGAGCCTTATGATTATTATTAAAGATTATTATTATTTTTTTTTCAATATGCCGGCCGTCTCCTACCAAGGCAGGGTGACCCATAAAAATAATGAAAATACTTCCACCATCATTCAACACTGCCACCATCATTCAACACTGCCACCATCATTCAACACTGCCACCATCATTCAACACTGCCACCATCATTCATACATAACCAGTGTCTTTGCAGAGGTGCCAATATATGACAGTTAATATGTTACTCCAAACAGCCAATATCTCAAACCCCTCCTTTAAAGTGCAGGCATTGTACTTCCCACATCCAGTACTTATGTCCAGCTAATCAGCTTCCCTGAATCCCTTCACAAAATATTACCCTGCTCACACTCCAACAACTCATCAGGTCCCAAAAAACCATTTGTCTCCACTCACTCCAAACACACTCACACATGCCTGCTGTAAGTCCAGGACCCTTGCACACAAAACTTCTCTTACTCCCTCCCACCATCCTTTCCAAGGATGACCTCTATCCCTCCTCCCCTCTATTACAGATTTATACACTCTCCTAGTCAACTTATTTTGCTCCATCCTCTCTAAATGATCAAACCACCTCAATAACCCCTCTTCAGCCCTCTGAATACTTCGTGTAACTCTACACCTCCTCCTAATTTCCACACTATGAATACTCTACATAATATTTACATCACACAATGCCCTTACATCTCCACTGCCTCCAGCCTCCTCTTCGCTGCAACATTTACGACCCATGCTTCCCATCCATATATGAGCGTTGGTACCACGATACTCTCATACATTCCCTTCTTTGCCTCCATGGATAATGTTTTTTGTCTCCACAGACACCTACCATTTTTTCCTTCATCAATTCTATGGTTAACACTGACCTTCATAAACCCATCTGCTGACAAATCTACTCCCAAATATCTGAACACATTCACTTCTTCCATACTCCCTCCCTCGAATGTCATATCCAATTTTTCTTTACCTAACTCATTTGACACCCTCATCACCTTTCTCTTATATATGTTCACTTTCAACTTTCTTCTTTTATATATAAAAAACTAAATATTATACATGCAATAGATTTTATACATGCAAATAGATGCAAATTAATAGATTTCAGATTACAGTAAAACCCCAGAATTTGCATGTTTTACAAACCCCAAGATTCAATTATGAAAGCAATTCAGAAAATAACTTTCATTATTTGTTTTTATCTTTTATACCTATTGTCATTCTGATTGGCACATGACCCCTAAATTGAAAAATAACCATAGGATTTCATTCAAAATGAGCTCCTTTTTCACCACTGTAAACAGTAAGCAGATTAGAGCAATATTTAAAGACAGATGGCCCAAAATCAATTTATACACAGAACTTTTTTAATTATTTGCATCTTTAGGATTAACAGTGCCTCTTGGAACCTAATTTCAGTTAATTATGGGGCTGCACCACATAAGAAAAAAAACAAGCCCATGCATATTACTGTACTGACTCCTGATTTAGGAATCTGAAAGATTTTTGTATTTACCTCTGCAGGTTCTGAATATTCCTCATCAGATTCAGAGTCACTATAAGCATTAGGTGAGAGAGAGAAAGTATGTGTAGTAGTGTTCTCCACCTCATGAACTTTCACTACTAAGAGCTCCTCATCTTCCTCTTGATTAAACTCTGCCTTTTCTTCACTTGCTTCTGTCAGCTCCCGTGCCTGTAAGCAGACAATTTGTCAGGACAGTAATATATACAGTAGTGCTATACTACTAAAGTTACATAAAACATTATGTAGCCACTCTAAAAGAAATTAGGATTTTACTGCACATGTTAATTGTATGAATGTGTGGGTGACCTTGAACTGTTTACTTTGAAACATAAAAGTCCTACTGACCTACACTGCTATCAAACCCAACACCACAGTCCAGTCAATGCAATGATGTCATCTCAAACTGTGCTGATTTTAAATGCATATTACTGTATACAGACCTCTGAAATTTCAAGAGACCATATACTGTAGTATACTCACTGCACTAGCAGAATCATAGTAAAAAACAGAAAAGCTAAGCTAATTTTCAACTCTTAGACAAGACAATAACAAGCACATGATTTATTACTCAACATTTTCACATCCTTTTAACCCTTTGAGGGTTTCGGACGTACTAGTACGGCTTACGACCCAGGGTTTTTGACGTACTAGTACGCCTAAATTCTAGCGCCCTCAAATCTAGTGGGAGAAAGCTGGTAGGCCTTCATATGAAAGAATGGGTCTATGTAGTCAGTGTGCACAGTCTAAAAAAAATCCTGCAGCACACAGTGCATAATGAGAAAAAAAAACTTTGACTCATTTTTTGGAATAAAACAGCAACTTTGCACTGTATTTTCATATGGTATTTATTGTTGTATTCTAGTTTTCTTGGTCTCATTTTATAGAATGGAAGACATATTACAGAAATTGTGATGATTTTGACTGGTTTTACAATGAAAGGTACCTTGAAATTGAGCTCAAAGTAGCAGAAATGTTCGATTTTTACCAAATTTCAAAAGTAAACAAATCGTGCCAATCGTGCAATACACGTCAACTGGTGAGTCTAATATTCTTTCACAAGTGCGCCAATAATATTTAAAAACCATTTTTTACACTAATGCAGTAGTCTGCATAACAGTAAATCTTATATTTTTTCTGAGAATAAAAATTCAAAGCGAAAGCAAAAGAATATAAGAGGGCCTTGAGACGTGACTAATGACCAGAGGAATGTCATTTTAGTGCCAGGAATGTCTTTCTTTTTTATTCTGGACCCTATTCTGAAATTGGCATCTTTTGAAATTTGTGTGAAATTGGCAAAATTGCTAAATTCTGACCACTGTACTGGATAGTTGAATTTCATAAATGGGTGGTTTCTTGCACCCATTCGATAGAAAAAATGGAGTTTAGCGAAATAATTCATGTTTTTTGTCGACTAGTATACAGTGGATTGGCCGAAAATGGGGCTCAAAGTGGGCAAAATCGCCGATGCGTAAACATCGCCGAGACCGCTAACTTTGCGAGAGCATAATTCCGTAAGTTTTCCATCAAATTTCAAACTTTTGGTGTCTTTATGATCGGGAAAAGATTCTCTATCTTTTCATAAGAGAAAATAATTTTTTTTTTTTTTAAATTTGGCCGACCCTGAGAACGAGTTTCGGAGAGGGCCTGTCGACCCTCAAAGGGTTAAATGTTTCTTCACCATGAGGGACTAACAGTCCCTCATGACTACCACAGTAACTGACAGCCCCTCATGACTACCACAGTTACTGACAGTCCCTCATGACTACCACAGTTTCTGGTAGTCCCTCAACATGATCATGACTACCACCGTTACTGGCAGTCCCTCAACATGATCATGACTACCACCATTACTGGCAGTCCCTCAACATGATCATGACTACCACAGTTACTGACAGTCCCTCACGACTACCACAGCTTCTGACAGTCGCTTATGATTACCACAGTTACTGACAGTCCCTTATGGCTACCACAGTTTCTGACAGTCACTCATGACTACTACAGTTACTGACAGTCCCTTAACATGATCACAAATGCCACAGTTACTGACAGTCCCTTAACATGATCATGACTACCACAGTTACTGACAGTCTCTCATGACTAGTTAATATGTGACTAGTTATATTAAAGGTCCAAGTAAGACTGAAATACCATCATAAGTTTCATTCTATGTATGGGTATCTGTGTAAATAATTTAACCCTTTGACTGTCGCGGCCGTACATATACGTCTTACGAGGTACCGTGTTTGACGTATATATACTCATAAATTCTAGCGGCTTCAAATCAAGCAGGAGAAAGCTGGTAGGCCCACATGTGAGAGAATGGGTCTGTGTGGTCAGTGTGGATGCAGTGCATAATGAGAAAAAAAAAAACTCCAACCGTTTTTTTTAATTAAAATGCCGACTTTGTGGTCTATTTTCGTATAGTATTTATGGTTGTATTCTCGTTTTCTTGGTCTCATTTGATAGAATGGAAAACATATTATAGAAATAGAGGTGATTTTGATTGATTTTACCATAAAAAGAACCTAGAAATGGAGCTCAAAGTAGGGGAAATGTTTAATTTTTGCCAATGTTCAGAAGTAAACAAATAATGCCATTGTCCAATAAATGTCCAACTAGCCATTCTAACATGCAGTCATGAATGGGTTGATGTTATTTATACAATTATTTCAGTATTGCAGTAGTCTGCATAATAGTAAGTCTTCTATTTTTTGTTTGAATAAAAATTCAAAATAGAAAGCAAGAGTAATATCAGAGGGGCCTGGAGACATGACTGATGAACAAAGAAAATGTTGTTTTAGAGCCAGGAATGTCTGCATTGTTCATTCTGGACCTTATTTTGAAATTGTCATATTTTTTTAGTTTTCGTGAAATTGGCCAAATTGCAAATTTCTGACCACATTATTAGGTAGTTGAAATCGGTAAATGGGCAGTTTCTTATACTCAATCGATAGAAAAAATGGAGTTCTAAAGAAATAGCTATGAGTTTGGGCAACTGCAACAATGGAATTAGCCGAAAATAGGGCTCAAAGTGGGCGAAATCACCGATTTGTAAACAGCGCCGAGGTCGCTAACGTCGCGAGAGCATAATTCCGTCAGTTTTCCATCAAATTTCGTTTTTTTGGTGTCATTACAATCGGGAAAAGATTCTCTATCATTTCATAAGAAAAATTTTTTTTTTTTTCTTGAAATTTTGCGACACCAGGAGACACCTCAGGATTGGGGGTTGCGACAGTCAAAGGGTTAATAACTGAAAAACATACATTACTGTTATAACTGGAGAGTGAATACCTCAGGTTCAAATTCAGAACTTGAACAACCTCTCTCTATTTAAACTGAATTAACTGACACTTCCATTATACAGCTTAAGGTTCAATCCATGTAAGGGAAGAAGGTCCAATTCCTTGAATCAAGAGCTCCTCACTGGCATCAAAGAACCTCCATTGAGGGATGGTAGAGCTACCAACAGTTCCCAATATAAATCTGATGGATTAACAGATTTCACTGACTTTCTTCATAAGAGTAAATGTACAAATATAAAACCACTGGTATCACTCACTGCTATCTTCACTGTTATTGTTCAATAAAATCAGCCTTTTAATTCCGTGAATCTTCATGGTAACCGTGTGTCTTCCAGACTGCTATTAAACATACAATACTGTTGTATCAAGGTTATGAAGATTATTTGGCTGGACATAAATTTGGAACACAATATATACCTTTGACGAATTACAAGTCTTTCAACTCTCAGAGTCCAGCCATCATGAATGCAACAAGCTGCACCACGTGGAGCTCAATTGGAATGCATAATGATTTATGCCTAAGTATACATCATCCTAGTTGCTCATATGGCAGTCCATACACATCATACCCAGTTTTAAAAGTTATAAATACAGTATATTTGATAAAATCTCACCTTAATTACAAAAATATAGCTAACTTAAAAGACCCCTTTTTATGTTATGCTAAACAGGCCCAATAATGTTAATTTTTCTATGTTAAAATGAAATTAAAAATGAAAATTGAAATATTTTTGTTAAGTGTTTGACTCAGGCCATCTCCCATGGCCAATGTGCTGAAATTGAATTTGAAATAGCCAGTCTTCCCATATTTCATTAATGAAAGGTACATTTCAAAGTTCAGTGAAAGATTCTTCAAGTGGCTCAGCTATAAAAATTTTGTTAGGTAAAAGGACACATGCAACTCATGTGACATTTTATTGTGGCAACGTTTCACTCTCCAGGAGTTGTGTCAAGCCATTACAAAAAACACAAAGCTCCTGGAGAGTGAAATGTTGCCACAATAAAATGTCATATGAGTTACATCTGTGTCTTTTTACTCAACATTTTGTCATTAATTCAACCATTATTACTATAAAACTTTTAATGAATTTTGATCTTAATTTACTATTACATACTTAAAATGTCTTTATACTTCATTTTTTGTATGCCTTTGAAAGATATTCTCATCCTCAAACACTTACCAATGAGACTTCAATAGGTTCAGTGGTCACCACTGACACTTGTTGTGGGGAGGAATCTTCACTCGACAAATGTGCCATATCAGAGTCCGAATCACTGCCACTGTCTGCATTCCCACTTCTCTTATGTATAGGAAGGTGGCCGTTCAACTCACACTTTTCTCTGTCCTCTGTTTCTCCATTATGGCTGTTGGGTTGTTCGTCCTCTGGTACACCATTAGTGTTTACATTTTTCAGTTTCTTGCCAGGGATATCAACAAATTCATAAAATGGTCCAAGAGCATCCATGAAAGCTGCCACATCTTCCGAGTATGACATGGTTTCTATGATCTGTGTAAAAAGATCACTCATGTGATTTCAAAACTATTTATTTTTGATACTTCATTCCCTCAACAAATTGGTCTTATGAAATTTTTTCCCAAAATATCAAATAATTTCAATTGTCAAATAGTCTTTTAAGGAACTCCAAAGACATTTACCAACAAATGTTTACAATACAGTAGAACTGCCGTAACTGCGGTTTGCCCTGGCCCGAAAACAATCCTTAATTTTGCTTAATAATGGCCCCATAGTGCAAAAGAAGTGATGGTGTCAGTTTTTCAAAGCCTAAGAGAAAACGCGAAGTTGCCTTATTAATCTTAAATTAGTCTTAAGTTTGCCCAAAATGCTCTGCACATAAAGAGGCTTTTGGCATGTACACTGAATTGTTATACTCCTTTGTACAAACATGTATCATGCTAAAATAAAAATTATTATTATTATTACTTCCCATCTGTGAAAAAGTGCTAATTCTTGACTTACTGAGCATAATTTATCAATTAAACTTTATCATAGGTATGTATGTAAATGAAAAATGACATATATACAGTTCGTTACTATCCGCAGTTTGGCGGATCTGTGGTAGGTCTTGGAATGTATCCCCCATGGATACAGGGGTCCTACTGTACTTTACATACATGTTTGGTAAAAGTGAAGCAGTTTATACGTACACTTAAGATAAAGAATAACTATAAAGAATGAGAATTGTCTTATCAAGTGCATATGCACACATTTATGAATGTAAGTAGTATATATGTATTTACCAATGTGTGATTACTGTACCTATTTCTTGCTAGAGAACCAGGTATGGGCTCATGGTGTCGGGTCTTCACGATTTAGTCTAATAAAGATGTTAAGTTTCCAGTGGTTGCAGCACTTACTATCTATTCTCTTACATTTGTACACTGCATGTATGCTTGCACATACATAAGTATGTACATATACAAACATACTGTACATATACATATAAATGTATCTATTTTTAAACTCAAAACAGCTGTCAACTGCAAAGACAGGGTGACCCAAAAAAGAAAAAAATATGTATCATCATTCATTCAATCAGCATCTTGTCACAGTTCAAATGAACTTCTCTGACTGCAACATCCCAGTCCCTCCTTCAGAGAGCAGGCACTCCTGACACTGCCCTTTCCACCTCCCTGTTCATGTTCTATCCTTCTTTGAAGTTTCACTTGATACTAGAAAGTTTTTTGGATCAATTCAGGTACCTAGCTTCATCCTTAATGTATCTTTAATTAGAATTTTTACTGAATTACTGAATACCTTCAATATAGTATAACCCAAGTAATATTATTCTAATATACTACAGCCTCTCCTCGCTTAGCGACGTACAGTGGAACCCAGGATTACAAAATTACTCTGTTCCAGAGAGAGTGACCTATCCTGGATCTGACTTATTCTGAATTAATTTTCCCCATAAGAAATAACGGAAATCCAATTAATCCGTTTCAGACACCCAAAAGTATTAAAAAAATGTTTTCTACATGAAATACACATTTCCCTACACAGAAAACAATCATACATGAAGAACAAAACAATAACAACATCACACTTACCTTTATTGAAGACATGGTGATGTATGGAAGATGGGAGGAGGGGAGAGGATGGAGGAGTTTACAATTGTTTGGAAGAGGAATCCCACTCCATAAAGACTTCAGGTACCAAGTCCTTATCCTGGGTTACTTCCCGCCTTTGTTTTTTAATGCCACTAGGACCAGCTTGAGAGTCACTGGGCCCCTGTCACTCAAAAAAGTTTTCCAGAAAGGTCTATTTCTGGCATATGTTAGGAATTGTGTTGAGATACAGGACAAGATAGTCCTTCAATATGACACTAATATCAGCTCTAAGGCTTATTTATCTAGCACAATTCATCTAATAAGACATAATAAACAATATTAATATATAGAAACATGACATATACTCTAGAATGAATAAAGTATGTCATTAACACTTTGAGGGTTGACAGGCCCTCTCCCAAACTTGTTCTCAGGGTAGAAAATTTTCAAAAAAAAAAAAAGATTTTTTTCTTGTGAAATGAAAGTTTTTTGTATTATAGGCCTTTTTTTTTTTTTTTTTTTTTTTTTTTTTTTTGGCAATCAATACTTACAGAGATATGGAGGTTTGAAGTTGACAGAAATTGAACCGCTTATGGCAACATCGCTGACTGCCGGTCACCCGGTAATAGTTTATTTTATTTTTTCTACTTTTTTCTTTTATTTTTTAATATTTTATTTTTTCAAGTAACTTTTATGGCCTCTGAGACCAATATAAAGATTATTTGGTATATATTCACTCATTGTATACTACACAATAACAGCACAAACTTTGCTGTTATTATATTCTTCACAAAACATGTTTACACAAACCAACAATAAAAAATGTTGTTTATTGCTTTTTTCTATAATATATATACACATTTAGAGTCACTGGACAGGTTCCTATAACTACAAGAGGTTCTGAAAACTTGTAGTTGTGTGTGAGTGGACTTGTAAATATGCTGAGTCACCAGCGTGTCTTGTGTCACAAAAATGCATCATACCACCACTCACTAACCCTCACTGTCTTCCACAACACATCCTTTCCTCCCCAAACACCTACCTTCCTTCTTTCCTTCCTTCCTTTCCTCCCCAAACACCTACCTTCCTTCTTTCTTTCCTTTCTTCCTTCCTTCCTTCCTACCTACCTTCCCTCCTTCCTTCCTATCTACCTTCCCTCCTTCCTTTCTTCCTCTCATCTCTTCCTACCTACCTTCCCTTCTTCCTACCTACCTTCCCTCCTTCTTTCCTACCTACTTTCCCTCCTTCCTTCCTTCCTTACTTCCTTCTTCCTTCCTTTCTTTCTTCCTTCAAGTAACTTTTATGGCCTGAGAGACCAATATAAGGTACTGTGGACCCTCGGGTAACAATGACATCGGCTAGAGATAAAATCGGATATGATACGTCTTTGCGTAAAAAATATTGGCTCGGCCAACGATGAAAAACTCGTAGGGACATTCGTCCCGAATGCATCCGCCTGTCCGTCTGGCCTGAGTGCCTCAGCTGCCCTGCCTTCAGCTAGTGTGCCATTGTTTACAAGCCAGGGCGGATGGTTCCACGCATACATTCGATACATTTTGTATTATTCCATTGTCTTTAGTGCTTGTAACTGCTAAATAACCCACCATGGGCCCAAAGAAAGCTTCTAGTGCCAACCCTGTGGTAAAAAGTGTGAGAAATACTATCAAAATACTATCGTACCACGGTCAGCTGCTGCTGCACCACCATCAGCTGCTGCTGTACCACCATCAGTTGGTGCTGCACCACCACCAGCTGCTGCTGTACCACCATCAGCTGCTGCTGCACCACCATCAGCTGCTGCTGTACCACCATCAGCTGCTGCTGCTGCTACTGCACCACCATCAGCTGTTGCTGTACCACAGTCAGCTGCTGCTGCTGCTGCTGCACCACCGTCAGCTGTACTACTCGAATATGTGGAGAGACTGTTGTTGGTGTGGCTTAACGAGAAACAATTAACCCCAGAGGGTTTGCCACCCAGGATAACCCAAGAAAGTCAGTGCGTCATCGAGGACTGTTTAACTTATTTCCATTGGGGTCCTTAATCTTGTCCCCCAGGATGCGACCCACACCAGAAGACTAACACCCTGGTGAACAGGAAAAAGTGCCTGAAACTAGTGCTCATAATGGTGAATTTAACCCTCTGACTGTTTAGGTCGTATATATACGTCTTACGAGCCAGTGTTTCAGATGTATATATACTCAATAATTCTAGCGGCTTCAAATCAAGCAGGAGAAAGCTGGTAGGCCCACATGTGAGAGAATGAGTCCGTGTGGTCAGTGTGGACCATATAAAAAAAATCCTGCAGCACGCAGTGCATAATGAGAAAAAAAAAAACTGACCATTTTTTTGGATTAAAACGCCAACTTTGAGGTGTATTTTCGTATACTATTTATCACTGTATTCTCGTTTTCATGGTCTCATGTGATAAAATGGAAAACAAATTACAGAAATAGAGATGATTTTGATTAGTTTCACGTTGAAAACGACCTTGAAATTGAGCACAAAGTAAAGGAAATGTTCGATTTTTACCAATGTTCAAGAGAAAGCAAATCACATTACAGGTTCAATACTCGTCAACTGGGGAATCTAATATTCTTTCACTAGTGTACTGATATTATTTATACCATTTTTACAATAATGCAGTAGTCTGCATAACAGTAAATCTTCTAATTTTTGTATGAATAAAAAATCGAAATAGAAAGTAATAGTAATACAAGAAGGGCCTAGAGACATGGCTAATGAACAGAGATTATGTTATTTCAGTGCAAAGGATGTCTACAATGTTTATTCTGGACCCTATTTTGAAATTGGCATCTTTTTTAATTTGTGTGAAATTGGCCAAATTGACAATTTCTGACCACTTTATTGGGTAGCTCAAATCGGTAAATGGACAGTTTCTTGTACAGTGGACCCCCGGTTAACGATTTTAATCCGTGCAAGAGGGGTAATTGTTATGCGAAATAATCGCTATGTGAATGAATTTTCCCCATAAGAAATAATGGAAATCAAATTAATCCGTGCAAGACACCCAAAAGTATGAAAAAAAAAATTTTACCACATGAAATATACATTTTCCCACACACAAAGAGAAGGATACATGCACAATAGTAGAGTAGTACATGCACAGTATATATTGTGCATGTACTAGTCTACTAAATGAAGAATAAATGACACTTACCTTTATTGAAGATGCAGCAATGACTGATGAGACACTGTGTCCTGGGAGTGCCTTTTCCTCCTGAGTACTGTAGGTCCTGTTTGGCATTTTCTTCCAGAACAGGCCTTATCACACTGTGTATGCCACTACGATTCTTAAATCTCTCAAACCAACCTTTGCTGGCTTTAAATTCACCAATATGAGCACTAGTTCCAGGCATTTTTCCCTGTTCACCTGGGTGTTAGTCGACTTGTGTGGGTTGCATCCTGGGAGACAAGATTAAGGACCCCAATGGAAATAAGTTAGACAGTCTTCGATGACACTGACTTTTTT